CAGGAATTAGCTTCCTATCTTACTTTTCATCTTTTCTTGAGTGGTAAGTTCAGTAGAAAAAGGGACTGAAGATGCAGACCTCCTGCCAGCTTGTCCCTAACTATATTGTCTGCTTTCAGATTTGTTTCTTTCCTAATCTGGGCAAAAAATGCTCATGCATTTAATGCCAACCATTAAGAATTAAACTAGTCCACATATGATAATATTTTCCCTGGTGTAAATGATGCTTTTTCTTTTTGCTATGCTTGTCTACCTGTCCGCCAGCCCTCTCACTACACCATGTCCCACAGTACCCACCTGGAGCCAAGGGTCACCAAACTCCCTCTGGTCCACCTAGCTCTGTGCAAGTAACCTAGGCAATAACTCTCAGTACATACGGCAAAGCATAATTCAGTATTGCTTGCTATTATTTTTCTTTCCTTCACTCTGCCTGCATTTTCAGGACTATCCAGCTATGAAAATACATGCCTCCTGTTTGTGAGCTGTATTGAATCTTCATGTAAAGTCACAAATATATTTTACACCATTAGGAAGTTATACCTTATGCACTTTCAGAAAAGGCTCTGTACTTTTCAGTCAAGGTGCTAATTCTTTAAAACAGGGAATTTCAAACTTTTTCCTTTTTCAAACAACAGGGGCTTTTTTAGAAACATGAATTTGCGAATACCTGCTGGCCTATTCATTGTCAAACAGGCCAAATCTCATTCCATTTCTGATGGCTTAACATTCATATGAATAATTCATTAATTGCCACTGCTACTAAAATGATATTATGAGAATATCTGCTGTATTCTAGCTCCCTTTCAATGAAACTGAGCAGCTGAAAAAGAAGAGGATAAACTGAAATAGCCAAAATGGATATCTAGCTAAATTTGTTCTTGGACAATTGTTCATTCAAGGCACTCTGAATTTGTTTGGAGTTATTATGCTGACCTTTGATTGAGCTACATTTCAGAAACTCGGAATACGTTTCAGAACTTCACCAGCAAGTCACTTGAACTTAAAAGTAACTTGTCAAACACAAAGTTCCAACTTTGCCTGCAAGTGGGGAAGGGGTCCAAGACAGAGACATTTGATATTAAGTCAAACCTTTTCTAGAAGTGTAGGAAGTGTGGTACTGATCCAAGTCAGATTAAAATGTTGAATCACATGTACAAAGGCATGACTATCGTTCCCGTCATAATAAAACACAAAGAATTGTTTCTTATTCCTATTTATGCAAAGCAGAAAATTTCCATTAACTTCAGAGGAGCCAGGATTCACTGCCAAATGAAACCAGCGATTTCCAATTTGTGGACATACTGTATTCTGTCATATTCATAAAAAGATTTTGTTTTGGATCTGCAGATACATAGCCCATAATTATTAAATTTATCTAGGGAAAGGAATTAGTAGATGGATGCAGATGATGGGAATTGTTCAGCACTCGCTTTTTGAAGGACTGCTTTGGGGAAATTAGTTGCAATCATTTATCATTTTCAGACTGCAGAATGTTTCATTTCGTAATAAGTATAATGCAGGATAACCCAGGTGTTGCAATTTGCTATCCTCTCAAATTCTACTGCAATTTTTTAGAACCAGTCCTTTTCAACCTGAAGGCACAACAAAATGAAATTGGAAGAGGAGAAGGGTTGCTATCTGGAAAGACACGAGAGATTCGAAGTGTTAACAGAACAAATTAACAAATTAATGTTAACTTCTTAAATCTCAGTGAAAAAGAAACCTATTCATATTCAAAGGTATTATTATTTTAATTTTAACATAAGCCTTCTTGTTTCCTTGGATCAAGACCATATTGTTAGAAACTGGCAGAATTAATAACAATAACTAATCATTCATAATCAATAATAGATTCTTTACTTTTAACAGAAATGTATTGACTTAATTGAAGAATTTGAGAAAGATGGAAAAGGAAGTATGATAAACAGCATCGCTAAAATAAAGTTGATGGGTGAAATCCCTCCTGCACTCACACATTAAAGGCAAAAATCACACATTTTCATCACACGGGATAAATACAAATCTTGAGTTTTGTCCTATACAGATATAAAACCAGATGAACATTGCACTTTCACATATTACTATGGCTTTGATTTACCTGAAAAAGTTCTGTTGATTTGTCCAAACTATAACTTGAAATTTTTATTGTATTTCACAAAATTAATGGCCTTAACAGCAAATTTCCTTTGATAATAGCTGTACAATGAGTAGGGCTTAATGAAATTCTAGTCAGTGTCTTTGCTGACGAAGTTTTTCTAAGAACAAATTTTTCTAAATTGAATAACAACAAATAGAGGGACTAAAAGTCTACTTTTAAAAAGAAAAAACAAGTATTAATACTTTTTTTTAATAGTTTTGCCTCATTTCCAGTGTTATGGGAGCCCAGCTAAGACTCCACTTAAATCCAAATGTTATATCTATTTATTCGTTCTATTCCAGTAAAAATAACATAATTGCACCATTGTAATAAGCTATGTGAATAAAGATGGGAACCAAGATATAATTAGCAACGAGTAAAAGCCCTATACATTTATCCTGTAGCAACATATAGGTTTGAAGTAATGATATGCTAATGACAGCTATATTTTAAGTCTCAGATTAAACTAAGACTTAGAAGCCAGCATATCCTCATGAATACCCCTTACTTGTGCATAGTAAGAGCAGTAAGAGAAACTGCTAGAGGGTAAGAATCCTAAATAATGCTCTGTCATCCACAGGGGTGGCAGCAACTTCTGTGAATATCCAAAGATTGGAAGAGGTTAGAAATAATTAGCACTTTGCAGTTCTAGCATCCGCACTGTCCAACTTCTGTTCAGGCTTTTGGTTCGTAGCTTGATTTTCAGTCAGTGTCTCTCTGCCTCTCTCAGCCATTAGAGATTGTGGATGAGGGAGAAATGGTATTTTATCTACCTGATTTCTGGCATTTGGGGGAAAGTACCATCAGTAAAGGGAACTGCTAGTGAAAAATATTGTTTCTGGCTCATGAGTTTAAATAAGTATTTGCTTCCTCCCTTTATTCATGCAGATTACAAAATCCTTGCCCCTCATCTTTGCTGAGGAAAATCAAATGAACCTCAATTTGTAATGTGGTTCACAGTCAGTTTTGTCTAGATTGCACTGACCATCCATGTGAAGCTCTACAATTTTAAGAGAATAAAGGAAGTTTTATGCTATGAAGCCAATATGAATCATTTGCATCTTCCCCACGTATTGCCTTGAGTACACATTCTACATAACACAAGAGTCAGTTAGCAAAATGATAAATTAGCAAATTTTAACAAGGCACAATTCAGACTAATTGTGTTTTTCAATAGTTGCGCATGGAAGTTGTCACCAGTTGTGCTTTAAAACTGTCAACAAAACCAAATGGCTTTTGTGTGCTCACGTGAGGCAGTGCGTGAGGACTGCAGTGAGGAGACTGAACTGCCATGTGCTGTGTGCTGAACTTTAAATGTCTGCCTTCTGTTTTTATTATTAATAGAGCATCCTATCAGCATAACTAATGACTTTCTTGTATTTTTGCAAGTTGCTAAATATTCATGCTATAATGACTTGAAATTTAGAATGCTCCCTGGCAAGCTAACTAAAATAACTGGGGATGAAATCTGAGGAATGGAGTGGGGAGAGAGGGAAGAAGAAGAAATAAGAAAAAAAAGTCCAAGACTCTAATTTGAATTTATTTTGCTAGACAACATCCACAGATGATTTTTGTCAACAGAAAATTATACTGAATCAATTAACATGAGTATCAGGCAAAACACAAAGACCAGCCACTGCCACCATGATGCTATTTTGATGAACATGCAATTAAAGTATAAAACCCACTACCCTACTGCTTTGCCTTTTTCTGTGCATTCATCCTTCTTATTTGGTTGGGTTTTTTTGTTTTGTTTTGTTTTGTTTTGTTTTGTTTTGTAGATATTATCACAGGAAGTTCTCTAATGTACTAAGAGCTGGAACAGACTTGACACCGTGACAGATGATGGCTTTTAAAGACCCATAAAATAATTGGAGGGGTACCAAACTGCTTTGTCTGTGGCACTGACATGCTCTGGTGATTTCACTTTCCACCCCTGACAGCTTTTTCCTTCATGATGCAAAGTCAGCAATGTAAACTGTGGAAACCACTCTTGCCTTGTTCTTTATAAGCAAGCGGTCAGGCCCTCAAACACTGAATCAGTAATGAAAAACATGAGTAGATAGTAGAGAGAGGGAAGTAGCTCAGTATAACCTTTACAGTTCTGCAGCCCTGGGCCAACTTTGTGTTTGGGCATTGGTCCAAAGAGGCCTATACAACTCATATTAGTTTCTTTTTCCTTATTTTTTTCTTTTTTTTCTTTTTCCCCCCACTCTAACAACTTCTGCTCAAGCAGCCTAAGTTTATGACAGGGAATACAATGCCTTCATACCACAAAATATCTTCCTATTCTGGTAGACTTTTTCCATGCAGCTTTAAACTAACAGCTTTGTTGCAGCTGCTTAATGCAAGGTGTCCGCACAGGGGAAGAACCTGGCTGAAGAAAAGCTGGGAGGGGGACAGTAGATGTTTCAATGAACTAACATTACTCACTCTAAGCTGATCTTGAATATTTTCCAAGCATGGCAATCTGTGTCAGATTGCACTCAATTTGGCAAGGTAATTGGAAGGCAGCTACATCTTATGAATCATTTAGTGTTTCAGCTAGGTAACTTTAGCTAACGGGGCACTTGAAGTTGCCCTTTATCAGTTCATATGGTTGTGTAATCTAATTTAGTATGTGTCTGTAGAAGAAACAGGTTTTAATGTGTTTGATTCACTATCTGAAATGAACTGTCCTGATAAATAATTTTATTTTGTGGAAATTGCTCCATTGCTCTCGTATTGACAAGCTGAAATAAGACACTTGAACACCAAGTTCTTGGTAAAATGGTGTACTTATTCAAAAGATGAAGCAAAAGGAAGAAAATACAT